GTCGTCGCTACGGTCTGGAAAATATCGTAGGAATCGTTGGCGTGGCCATCATGGATCTGCCCCCCGATTCCACTTCTTCCAAGGCTCCGACGGCGTATGTGAAAATCAAATGGAAGAATATCGCCAAGGAACACCAACACCTTTGCGACAAAAATGGGAACAACTGGAACCGACGAACAGACCTCAAGACTCGAACGGGGGAGGAAATGGCCCATCTAAAGCTCAAGGAAGCGTGGATCAGGCAGGAGATACGATACAATAACTGGATAAGAGGGGCAGAGGTCGGTACTGTAGAGCGCTCGCCCACGCCGTTCCCGCTCGACGAGTATCGACGGAGAAGGGAGGAAAGTAGAGGTCCATTGAAAGTGAGGCCTGGTACAACGATAAAGCGCGAGGAAACCCCTCGTGCTTCAACAGAAGCAACAGAGGCAGCAAGCACTCCGAAGCCAGTTACGGTGGCAGATCGCGTCGGAACAACGAGCAGATCAGAAACCGAAGCCCGAGTTACCAGTCGCGCCGCAGATAGGCAGACGAACATGGAACAAGACTCAAGTGGCCAAGAAAATAATTCCGAGTCACAGTCGACTTTTAGCCAGAAGCAGTACAAGGAGGCGATGATAAAAGACATGGGTCTAGACATAATGCGAAAGGAAGACATGCAAGCATATGTGAAAGCGATGGCACTGATCCAAGCGGAATATGCCACCTATAGGGCTTACATGTTAAAACATGGAGCTGTCGAGGTGGTTTGATATGGCTGCTTGAATATGGGCGATGATCGCTGGCGACATCGCCCTGAAAGAACACAGATAGTCCGTTCTGGCCACTCTGAAGTCACCTGTGTCACTGCTCGAGGTCTCCATGTAGTTTGACTGCCGTTATATTTCTATTTCTGTCATTATTTGTTGTTTGTTTGTTTGTTTGTTTAGGATTAATTTTTCTTCTCTGCTAGACCCCAACGTCAAGCGCGAAACTTCAAACTGAAGGTCCGCTGGCGGTGTCTTTGCATATAGCTTCCTGTCAGCCAGCCTGGCTGCCGAGTCTAGTAAAGGATTTACGGAACTCTCTGGAATTCTGATTCAACCAATCAGATCACGAGAAATAGATCATATTGCGATTCAACTCGCCAATTCGATTCCAATTCGCTGAAATCTATCTTTCCTGTCTATAAATTCTAGTATGAGATCGTAGATTAGAAGAATCGGACCTTCATCCCTTGATATTCCACGTATATGCGTTTACCATACAAACGTTATTATCTCGGATTGGCTAACACTTCCTTACTGCGTAGAAAGTTCGAACCACCATGGCGGTAGACACTGGTTGGTTGAATTAGTATAGAAAGTGAAAAAATAAAGTTCAATGATAATGAAGTTGTTTACTACATGACGTAAATAACTCAGCATAGCGCATCCTTTGTCTGGTTCGTTGGGAGATAAAACGGTTCCTATCACGTCCTACATTGCGGCGTGAGGTAGCAAGACAGTAGATCGCTGCCACTGTACTGTATGATTGCACCCGATTTTTCTCAGCCATTGTGATCCAGCCGTTCCCATTTGCTGCCGCTTCTTGCAGCTATTGCACAATGGTGAAGCGAGGACCATGAGTCCGTTCAGTTTCGTGAAGTGGAACATTTTCTTTCTAACCTGGCACGGCGACAAGACTTTTCCTAGGAATAAATCTAACTGAAGTGGGATTTGACCAAGGGGACGCCTACTGTCCACCTAAATATTCTCCGATTCAATACCCCATAAGATGTGTCATTGAGAAGAGCCAGCTAACCTTTTTCTGATCTTTTCTAACATCCTTGAGTCCTCGGACTTTAGCGCATAGTCCAGTGCGCTCTCTTCCTGAACATTTTCAAGGGTGAGACTAATATCTTTTCTATTCAGCAAGGCCATTGATACTTCGTTGTTTCCCTTTTCTATAGCGAGCATTAATGCTGTTCGACCAGCTCTGTCTTGGTGATTCACATCGATATGATCCTTTTTTAGGAGTTCAGCCACAATTGTGGTTCGCTCAAGTAAGATCGCCCACATCAGTGCACTTATAGTAGCCCAACAGCAGTTGACGTTGATGTTGGGTACACATAGCAACCGAAGGCTGCTTCTATCACTTCCTTTCGCTATTGTCCAGATTAATGGATGTATGAGCCCGTGATTTTGGTTGTTAAGAGCCACGCGCTGGTCACACAAGAACATTTCCAGTAACTCCGGCGAACCGCTGCCTGCTGCAATTGCCAGGGGCGACAGACCTTGAGGAGATAGATTAGGATCTAGTCGCCTGTCGTCGAGAAGCTTCTTTACAGCCTCTTTGTGCGCCCTACCGACCGCATAGAAAAACGGCGTTTTGCCTTGGACATCGGTCAGATTAACGTCAGTATCGTTGCGCTGTAGCAGGATGCTAAGCGGATGACAGTCATCGTTCGATGCTGCATAAGACAACGGTGTCCGTCCCTCAGAGTCAGTAACGTTAATGTCGATACGACCGTCCCGCAATAGGATTTTCATAATGTAGAATTTGCCATGATGCTGTGCTGCGATGTGGAGTATCGTCTGTCCAGCACCGTTCCGGGCATGCACGTTCACCCGTGGTAGGATGAGAAAACAAAATGTCGCGTATAAACTTCCTATTTCCACTGCTCGGACTAGCCCCGAACTGTTTTCGTGGTCCACACTGTACTGGTATAGATATCTTTTTAAGAGTTGGTAAAGGCCTCTGTTCACGCTCATCAGGGCATATATATTCCGAGTGCTGTGAAGCGTAGTGACTATATGGAGCACCAACTCGGGTGGAAGATCTGAAAAAGACATGGATAAAAGGATTCTAGCTGATGGTTGGCGGATAGTAGGGTGATGAGACCACCGCAGACAGTTACATAGGTCATTGATAATATTACTAGATCTATCAGACCGAGGAGCACAGTGCTGCTTTTAAAATCCCCGTCGGCCCACAGCCCTAATCGATTCTTTCTGAGTTTCAATGAGGAATTTGGCTTTTTTGATTAATACAACTCAAACCAATCCTGATGTCCGTGTTTGTCTTCAGAGGAGATGAGTATGCATAAAGAGCAAGCGCGCCGGTCAACTAGTTGAGAATGGAATGGCTCTGGCTGACATCATTACTTGATGTGCGAGAAATGCTATGGACGGAACAGAAGTTGCTGGCCAATCGTCCAATGTCCCTGTTTCTCTGGCGACACCGTTACAGTAGCCTATATTTAAAAAATGGCCAAACTTCTTTACAAGATAAGCAGGACAACGACCCACGAC